ATTCGGGTGCTTCATACCACGTATGCCCTAGGAGGAATTGGTTCTCCAGCTTTCAGAAGTTGAAAAGAGAGGATGTTGTGCTCATGGGTAATGGACATGCATGTAGGGGTGGGCAAAAACCGAAAAAAACCGGTTCAACCGAAAAAACCGCCCGAAAAAGCGGGCCGGTTAACCGAACCGGATTAAATGGATGAGAAGAAGACTCTAAACCGCCCGAACCGAATTAAACCGGTTTGGATCCGGTTTGAACCCTTGAACCGCCCGAAAAAAACCGAACCGAATTTTCATTTGGAAAGGTAAAAATTTAGATGTAGTTCTGTTCTCTATTTGAATAATTAGACATCAACTTCGTAATCGTGATTTGATCACTAATCTTTATACTCCTAAAAGATACTTGCTCAGCTACATGAATCAGGGAAAACAAAAAGCACGTATACAATTGTCCTCTACAAATTGTTTAAAAAATAGAAAGCAACAATTTAGTGAGTGACACGTGTTAATTTGCAGTTGATCAACGGTTGATTTTGAAATTTTATTTCTTGTTAGGGGATGCAACTGTTAGAAAGAGAAGGCAACAGACAAAGTCATCTCTGCCGTTTTTTTCCTGACATTTTTAGTCTTTATGCTACGCAAGTTAGACGTCCAGAAAGCAATAAGAGGATGAACAAGGAGTTAGGTGAAAATATTCTAGAGGTCGATTGTAAATATTTAGGTTTGGGAGGTTATTCGTGACAAAGTTTACTTTCCTCTCTCCGTTTTGGTTTCCTGTAAGTTTTGTTCTTCGAAAATAATTCGGTCCAAAACCGAAACCGAACCGATCCGAATTTCGGTTGGACCAAATATTCGGATGAAGGGGAAAAACTCTGGATCTGGATGAGAGTTTTGAGAATTTGAAAAATTCGGATTGGATACGGATTGGGCTTAAAACCGAACCGAACCGAATATGCCCAGCCCTACATGCATGCTCTATTGGTGGTATTGGTACCGTTCGTATTCAGATGTATGACGGAGTGATTCAGGAGTTGGAAGGAGTGAGGTTCGTTCCGCAGCTGTCGAAGAACATCATTTTACTAGGAGCTTTGGTGGCATCTGGCTATAAAGTGACATTGGAGGATGCACGTTTGAAGGTCACATTGGGGTCCATGATTGTTATGAAGGGTGTCAGAAGGAGCAATTTGTATTATTTGCTCGGAAGCACAGCGATTGATAGGGAGATGACGACTTCATCAGATTCGGCTAGACTGTGGCGTTGTTTGATGCTGGGTTATTTGATTGGTAATGTCGTGCATAGGTTATTGAGGAGTGCTTTGACCTACAGTTTGAAGTCCTGTGAACCCATTGGTATGAGCGAGAAGACCGAGATGGAGTTTGGCACTTCTATCCATCATTCGAGGGGTTTTCTGAGGGGTGTTCATTCAGGCATTCGAGGGCCTTCCAAGGGAGCATTATTGGGAGGTAATAGGTATGTGGTTTCCGCAGTTGGGGATTGCTCTAGGCATTGGTGGGTTGCAACCAAGTCCCGTTGGTGTGAAGTCCTAGAAGCCCGCAACAGATATAGGAAGTGTGTTGGTAGAAAGGTAACCCGACGTTCTGAGTTTGGTAGAGGTTCTTTCTTGCATTTGTGCCGAGCTCATGGCAATAGGAGACACTTCATTGGTGTGAAAACTTTGAGGCGACAAGGCGAGATGGCAGATTTGGGCAGCTGTTCCTTTCTGGAGGAGGATCGGTGTTTGATGTCGAGCATTGTCATTGGTGTGCAGGCTACGACATGTTTGGACCATCTCATGTATAGGTTGCCGACTGCTGCATATATAGATATGGGATCTGGTGGAGCTGCTTCAGGTTTTGGGTTATGTCGGATGTTTGGCTACCCAGCACTTAGTCACATCGAGGATGTGAGATTTGATCCGATAGCACATTTGGGATTCAGAGGCGTATTTGATTATCAGGTATCGGCTTCTGACTTTGTTCTGAGCAGGCATGTCACGTTTGACTCTCAGCAGGTGGAGAGTGGTGATCAGATCTTTGGGACATCGCAGCGGGTGGAGAGTGATGCTACTCCACGTTGGGTGAAAACTCCAGATCAAACTGCATCATTTGGGATTCCAGCTGATGTGACACAGATTGGGAATCATGTTGATTTGGATGCAGATGATAGGTTGATTGATTCGAGTACAGCTGATAGATGTAGTCAGGATATGGCCATTGGTTCATCTCAGGTGGAGATGTTTGGATTAGTTCAGTTTGGAGCCATTTGATGTTGGAGAAGGGTTGCGAACTCTTCTAGTGGATTGAGGCCTTTGGAGGCCATTTGGATGAACTACGTTCGGCTTGATTCATTGGGCAAGAGGATACGTAGGCAGTCTTTCAGATGCAGCCGGTTTGATCAGTTGTAGGGGGAGAGATCGTGTTTCAGCTCTAGATTGGTTCCCTGACTTGTTGAGAGACTATTGGATGATTTGGTGTCGGCTCAGTTTTGGTGGAAACATTCGCCGAGGTGGAGAATTGAAGAATTACAGGAAATCAGCAAAGGAATCAACAGGTAGAAGCCAGACAGATCAGCGGTCGACCGCCAACGTGCATGGTGCCTACTGGGATTCGGATTTGGTGGCAGTCGACCGCCGCGGTCGACCGCGGACGACTGTAAGTCTTTTTGCTCTCGGGACTGAGATTCGGTCGACTGCCGCGATCGACCGCGAGACCTGCGCGGTCGACCGTTGATATTTCTGGGCTGGGCTTTTGGTTTTCGACCCGATTTGTTTTGTAAGTTATATATATCCCTAAACCTGATTGTCTAGGGTAAGGTAAGGACGAATTTGAGCGGTCTTTGAGAGAGAGTTGTTGCATCCAATTGTGGGAGAGTTGTGAGAGATCAAGAGCATTGTTTTAGGATTTGGTTTGAGAGATTTGTAACTCTACTTGTATTCTCTGATTTCTAATAGTAAGAACTCTCCCCTCCTTGCCCCGTGGACGTAGGCATCTCGCCGAACCACGTAAATCTCTTGTGTTAGTTGGTGAGTGTGCTTGTTTATTTGGTTGTGATCTCTCTTGTTTGGATTGTGTGATTCGAATGCTTCCGCGCTGCGCACAACAGTTTGGTACCTAACTTACCTGTTTCTCTAAGTAGGTCCAAAACATATTTTCTTTGAGAAAGAAACAAACCTTTGTGGGAGCGAGCAATTTCAATACCCAGAAAGTATTTTAGATTACCTAAGTCCTTAATGTCGAATTCAAGACTCAGGTGATGTTGCAGGGTTTCTATGCCACCACTTCCTGTAATCACCAAATCATCCACATAGATTAAGATAACAATGATACCTTTGTTTGAAGTCTTAGTGAACATTGAAGAATCTGCCTCGCATTTTTTAAAACCGACCTTAACAAGAGCCGAACTTAGCTTACCGTACCAGACCCTTGGTGACTGCTTCAAGCCGTAAATCGACCACTCTCTCTCGGCACAGGTAAACCAGGTGGCAAGTCCATGTAAACTTCTTCTTCGAGATCCCATTGGAGAAAGGCATTTCTCACGTCCATTTGAAATAGTGGCCAGTCGTAATTGGTTGTGACCGACATGAGAGTGCAGACAGTATTCATCTTGGCCACAAGAGCAAAAGTTTCCTTGTAATCTACTTCGTAAGTCTGGGTATACCCTTTGGCAACTAATCTGGCCTTATACCGTTCTAATGTTCTGTTACTTTTGTACTTGATTTTGTAAATCCAACGACACGTAACCGTTTTTTTTCCATTGGGTAGTTTGACAAGATCCCATGTTTGGTTTCGTTTTAACGCATCAAGTTCATCGTTCATGGCATTAACCCAATTGTTATCCTGTTTGGCCTTCTCAAAGTTGTTTGGTTCAGAACCCTTTTCAATTTGGGTTAAGAAGGAATAGATCTTTGGTGAAATTTTATCATACTTGACAACTTCCTGTATTGGATATGGCGTGGTGTGGTAAATCACAAAGTCTTGGAACTTGGCAGGTTGTTTTGTTACACGGGTCGATCTTCGCACAAGTGATGTTCCTGCATGCACTTGAACTTCTTCATTTCCAGGCCTGTTAGAATCTGCCATAGGGCTTCCACCTGATTCGGGCCTAGATGGCGTGTTCTCGTCTTCATGAGTTGGGTTTGGATTTTCATAGGTTGAATCCGTTCCATTAGCAATGCTAGGCCCATCACGAGTTGCAGAAAAATCGCTGATATTTTCTACCAACAGCTCTTTTTGGCTATTTTCAATTTGGCTGGACCCATATTGGTGATCCACTGGAATTGCAGCAATCTAAAAATCTTTATATGCAGTTATCTCCCCCTGATTTTTTGTCACATAAAACATTTTATTTTCATCAAACCGTATATCTCTAGAGACGAAAACACGTTTCTGTTTTGGGTCATAACACCTATATCCTTTTTGTGTGGAAGAGTAACCAACAAAGATACATTTTCGTGCATGTTTTTGTGAATGTACATAACAAACACAACCAAATACATGCAAATGAGACAAATTGATTTCTCTGTTGTATAGAATTTCCATTGGGCTTCGAAAATCAAGAATCCGATTAGGAAGTCGATTTATCAAATAACACCCAGTGAGGACGGCATCGGCCCAGTAGGTTTTAGGTAAATGGGCTGAAAAAAGCAAGGCACATGTTATTTCAAGTAGGTGTCGATTTTTTCTTTCAGACACACCATTTTGTTAGGGAGTACCAACGCAGGAAGTTTGATGCATTATACCGTTACTACGGAGGAAAGTTTGAAAAGCATGATTCAGGTATTCAGTACCATTATCGGTTCTAAGAGTTTTAACTTTTCTATCAAATTGATTTTCAACCATTTTGCAAAAGAACTGAAATTTCTCACATACATCCTTTTTGGATTTGAGCAAATATAACCAAGTTGCATGGGATTTATCGTCAATAAATGTGACGAAATATTTAAAACCCTCTTTAGATTCCACAGGTGCATTTCCCCACACATCAGAATGAACAAGATCAAACGCATCATTAGATGTATTAGAATGCTCAGGAAAATGTAGCTTATGAAGCTTAGCAAATTGACAACGTTCACAGTTATTGAAATCATGAATTAAAGACAAGTTTAAATGTTTCAAGACTTTGTCAGACAGATGGCCTAATCTCTTGTGCCAGAGTTGAGAAGAGGCTGCATTTACTGTAGAGAGTGCCAGCTGATCCAGCTCTAATATGTATAATCCATTGACTAGGCTACCTTCACCAATCGTCCTCCCTGAACTTCTGTCCCGAAAGACTACTTTCTGAGGAGTAAAAAGAACATTGCAACCTAGTTTATTAGTACATTTACTGATGGATAGCAAATTTGCCTTTAAATCTGGTACCACAGTAACACCTATATCTTTTGAAAAAATACGAGCTGTTCATGTTCCTTTTGTAGGTATTACCAGACTATTTGCTACAGTAACATGTGAGTAACTTGTTCCGGGTTGGAACTTTGTTAACAATTCACTGGAGGTGAACATATTATCGATGGCTCCTGAGTCTATAATGATTTTTCGAAAAAAGTAGAGAGAGCAGAAGCATTACCAGTATGTTGAGCAACATGGGACTCTCCACTTAGACCAGCATGAGCCGATTCACTGTCAGTGGTGCACTTCTTCATTAGAAAGTCGATCTGTTTAGTGATATGCTCCAATTTATGTTGAATACCATCATTCTCAGAATTTGCCGCCAGATTTGCCTCATTAGACCTATTGCGTGAAGGTTTTAAGTGAGGATGTAACACATAGCACCTCTCTTTGGAGTGCCCACTTCGATTATAATGGTCAAAGAAAAACCGAGCTCCTTTCTTATCCTTTCCCTTGGTCCATTTGTTACTGTCACCAGTTTTAAAGCTAGAAAATTGCGCATAGTTTTCAGAATTTTGAGAAGGAGCAGTTACCCTTTTGCCCATTACTCACTTGCGGGTCTCTTCACTCTGGTGATGGCACACACAGAGTTGAGTGATGGCAATTCTGGTCGCATCAAAATCTCTCTTCTTACTTCTTCATAATCGGAGGTGAGACTAGCCAGAAGGTAGAAGATTTGGTCCTATTGCTCTCGTTTGATGTATTCCATCACTGTTGCAGCAATGGATCGGTACTGACGAAGCTTTTCCCACTTCTGCTTGAAGGCTCCAAAGTGCTCCAGAAAGGACTGATATTGTTCTTGTTTAAGAGATGAGATACTTTGCTGTATTTCAAAAACTCGAGAAGAATTGTTAGCATTTCCATACATTTCAAAAATAGATTCCTACAATTCTTTAGAATTGTTTGTATAGGCAAAAATACCGTAGAGTTTCGGTTCTATGGAATTTAGGATCTGTGACATAACCCGGAGATCATTCACTTCCCACTCAGCGTCTTTCCTCTCTTGCTCTGTCTCTGTTGTTGACATTTCACCTACAGTCTTAGTTCTGCCAAGGATGTGCTCGAGCTTAGACCGCCCTCCAAGTGCCAGTTTGATGGCTCGGGCCCAATTTAGGTAGTTATCACCATTCAACAGAAAATTGATAAGGGATTTATTAGGCTTTTCGTGATTTTCGTCAGCCAAGGGGTGAATGTGTAAAAATAATTCTGACAGTACTAGAGAAGGTTAGCGGGTCGGGTACAACGAGAAATTTCCGCTCGTTTGTAGTAGGAAGAAAGAAACCTGATATATCGTCAGGAGGAAGGACAAAGTAACTTCGTCAAGCAGTGAAACGAAGGCAGCAAGAATGGAATAGATGGAGTATCTAGATCACCTCGGCATAGCCATCAGCAATCAGTACAACCAATCAACTTGGCTCTGATACCATGTAGAAAAATAAAAGAGACACAAGACTCCCAGAAAGCTCCCTCCCTCCCAGATTTTATTAATGATGAATTTCTTTGTTTTTTGTATTTGTTACAAGCTGTAGCAATGATATATGTCTCTTTTTATACAAGGAGAAACAAATACAATTAAGCTAAGTGCTCAAGAAAAGGAAACAAATAAAACTGCTAATCTCTTAAAGAAGGAAAACAATCACAGTGAAATATCGCCAGATAGTATTCCAAAAATGCTTCTGCCAGCTTGTATGTTGCGCAACAGACCCCAACAACAATGAGATCGACAAGCACGGAGCCTACTGAAAGTTCTAATCTTTAAATTCATCACAACAACAACAAGCTAAGAGTCCGTAATATCCCCACCCCCCCAAAAAAAAAGGAAAAAAAGAAAAAAATATTCTACAGTTTGAAAATATTACTGAAAAAAAGACTAAGTTTGCCCTGAATAAGAAACACCTTGTGATCTACGTACAAGGAAGAAAGATAATAATTCCTTTTCAATCCCTTTCTTGTCCGTAATGATACCAGCCCAGAAAAGAAAAGGGAGGGGTGGAAACCCAGTTATTTCTCACCGTTGTTAGATTGCACTGCCTTGGGAATTCTCATTATTGACATAAAAATGGTGGGTTCGTACAACAATAATGCAAAAGCCGGCCACAATATCCAAAGGGAATCTCCAGGCTGAGCCCAGCCAAAATGACCCTTGCCGTATTAATTTATATATGTGCACATCTAATCTCTAAGTTCTGAGGACCACCAATCACCTGCAAAATTTCTGTCCTCAGCTCTAAATAATTGACCCACTGATGGTTTCTTTTCTTTGTACCGCATCCTTTACAAGTAATTAACATGTGAAGAAAATGACACGACGTAGCCGGGAGTGTTAACGCTGAGCTCCCCTGTGGTTCCGATAATTGGCCGGGTACAGGGGTCAAAGTGGTCCTCGCATAAAAATTCACATGATAATTTTTTTGTATATATTTATGGGAAGTAGATAAAAATTTCACACATGTTTAGAGATATCGGTAAGAACTTGTGCATTTGTGACAAGTATTTTCACATTTAAATATCAAATAACCATCAACAATCTCAACCCTAATCTGATAGAAAGGGACCTCTCAAAGGAAAGCCTAGTGAGGGTATATACATTTTTAATACATTGAATAAGCTCAGAAGCAAGGGAGACGTAATGTGCAAACTTCTTTTGTGGGTGGACTGTATCGCAAGTGCTAATGAAAATTGACAAGCATGCCCTCACTTTAGGTCATCTTTTTCTGAAAGAAATACTAAAGTGAAAAAAGCAAGAGCATATGAGACTTTTTGGTAGTTCATAATCATCAAGACAAAAGGAGTAATATGTGAGTTGGGAAGTGAATTATGCGCCTCCAAAGAAATCTCTCGGGAGTGGATTACATAGTGCCCAAGCAATGAAGGTGGTATTTTAGAGGAAGGTTTTAGAGGTTAGAGATTAAGTAAACTAACCAATAAATATCTGAGAAATGTTTTGCCGAAGACCCGTTCCACCGCGTCGAAACTCCGAAATTATGGTGAGGATTGAGAGCTATAGTTTTATATTCTAACCGGTCCGTTCAGTTGGCTAGCTGTTTGCTTGCACGATTGTTCTTCTAATCAAACAAGAATCCTCTCTCACGTGCAATGCTTCCTTTTAAATTGCAAGCAAAAGAAGTAATATCAATCGAGAGTTGTCCTGCAACAAAAACATAGCTGTAATGTTCTGCAAGTGGTTATGCAGACTCCGAGTACAAAAATGAACATTTTAATTTTTCCTAAAAGGAACCAGCATTTTCTGGTAAAGACTTAGGTTACTTTTATCATATATTCCATTTGCAACATAAAGCTTATGGTCCACGACCAATTCAGGTCACAAGACCAAGAAAAAATTGATGTCATTAACATAATGAAATAATTATTTCAGGCATGAATACCAAAGACAGATTGGTATTCATAATTTGAACTGTTTCCATTCCAATAAAAATTATTATAGGTCACGACGTGCTTACTGCAAGTCAAAAGAAAAAGGAGGTTGAGTTAAAAATTTTAATAGTTTCCTATTGGTTGGCTATAAATTTTTTTCAAACTAAAAGTGTTTCATATTAAACCACTTTTGCTGCAATATAGGATGCACACAATCATTGTCTGCCTTTAATGTTTACAGTTACGGTATTACCTTCTTGCTCATGAGGTCCTTCCTATTTCCAGAATTAACCTATTAATTACTTGATGAATGAGGTAATTCTTGTTAGAAGATTAGCCTTAGGCTTTGATATGCCCAAAATAAAAAAAATAATACAAAAAAAAAAAACAAATGTAATGGGACACCCAATTGCAGATTGCTTGCAAGAGCATCAAACTCTAAATGATTTTCTTCTGAATTGAGAACTTGCAAATAAACAAACCAAACAACCATCAACAATCTCAACCCTAATCTGATAGAAAGGGACCTCTCAAAGGAAAGCCTAGTGAGGGTATATACATTTTTAATACATTGAATAAGCTCAGAAGCAAGGGAGACGTAATGTGCAAACTTCTTTTGTGGGTGGACTGTATCAAACAACCATCAACAATCTCAACCCTAATCTGATAGAAAGGGACCTCTCAAAGGAAAGCCTAGTGAGGGTATATACATTTTTAATACATTGAATAAGCTCAGAAGCAAGGGAGACGTAATGTGCAAACTTCTTTTGTGGGTGGACTGTATCGCAAGTGCTAATGAAAATTGACAAGCATGCCCTCACTTTAGGTCATCTTTTTCTGAAAGAAATACTAAAGTGAAAAAAGCAAGAGCATATGAGACTTTTTGGTAGTTCATAATCATCAAGACAAAAGGAGTAATATGTGAGTTGGGAAGTGAATTATGCGCCTCCAAAGAAATCTCTCGGGAGTGGATTACATAGTGCCCAAGCAATGAAGGTGGTATTTTAGAGGAAGGTTTTAGAGGTTAGAGATTAAGTAAACTAACCAATAAATATCTGAGAAATGTTTTGCCGAAGACCCGTTCCACCGCGTCGAAACTCCGAAATTATGGTGAGGATTGAGAGCTATAGTTTTATATTCTAACCGGTCCGTTCAGTTGGCTAGCTGTTTGCTTGCACGATTGTTCTTCTAATCAAACAAGAATCCTCTCTCACGTGCAATGCTTCCTTTTAAATTGCAAGCAAAAGAAGTAATATCAATCGAGAGTTGTCCTGCAACAAAAACATAGCTGTAATGTTCTGCAAGTGGTTATGCAGACTCCGAGTACAAAAATGAACATTTTAATTTTTCCTAAAAGGAACCAGCATTTTCTGGTAAAGACTTAGGTTACTTTTATCATATATTCCATTTGCAACATAAAGCTTATGGTCCACGACCAATTCAGGTCACAAGACCAAGAAAAAATTGATGTCATTAACATAATGAAATAATTATTTCAGGCATGAATACCAAAGACAGATTGGTATTCATAATTTGAACTGTTTCCATTCCAATAAAAATTATTATAGGTCACGACGTGCTTACTGCAAGTCAAAAGAAAAAGGAGGTTGAGTTAAAAATTTTAATAGTTTCCTATTGGTTGGCTATAAATTTTTTTCAAACTAAAAGTGTTTCATATTAAACCACTTTTGCTGCAATATAGGATGCACACAATCATTGTCTGCCTTTAATGTTTACAGTTACGGTATTACCTTCTTGCTCATGAGGTCCTTCCTATTTCCAGAATTAACCTATTAATTACTTGATGAATGAGGTAATTCTTGTTAGAAGATTAGCCTTAGGCTTTGATATGCCCAAAATAAAAAAAATAATACAAAAAAAAAAAACAAATGTAATGGGACACCCAATTGCAGATTGCTTGCAAGAGCATCAAACTCTAAATGATTTTCTTCTGAATTGAGAACTTGCAAATAAACAAACTATTTGTCAAAGATGGGGAGCCATACTGGAGGTTACACACTGATGGAGGTTAGGCTGGTATAGGACTTATATTTGTCACGCATGAAGGTGCAATTCTTTGACGCTTGCATTGTAGGAACCAAGCATGGATAATGAAGTTGAATGTGAAGCATTGAGAGATTGCGATTCAAAATTAACTCAAAAACTTAAAAACTATTAGAAATTTGACTCCAACTTCTAGTTAAGACAATGACTGTTTCTAATTCTTTTCAGAGACGGACGATACTTATATATGATCCTCCAGTTATCACCCCCCTTAATTTGTGAGTATATCTGATTCATACATAGAAAAACACTGAAAGATCACAGGTACCAACATCCCTATATATTAAGGATCATGGTGGAACCAAAAAGATCCCCAACTTTGATTCGAATTCTCCTATATGCTAACATTTTTTTGTGCATTTATTTTCAGGCATAGATAATGATATTATATGAATTATCTATTCTAAATCATGATAAGATGCTTGGTAGATGAAAAAAAAAAAGACATCTTGCCATAGGTTATTGTCTTCTGCATTGTTATTAGAAGCTTGCAAAGAAAGGATAAACTAATAGTTAATGCGGTAAATGAGGTGCATTCAGAATTGTAAGCTTCATTCACATCCTTTAGCCTGATCCCGAAGGCCAGCATATCATCAAGTTTAGAAAGTGTCCTGACATTTAACCGTTTGGATTAAGCCCATTACACGCATGTAACCAACATCTCTTAACATTGTCCCCATCCTTTTTAATCTCATTTAATGACCTTGAGGCTAAACCATATTCCATATCCTTAGTTTCTCAACGATACATACATTTTTGTTTGGCAAATACATCGGTCTCAAATGTTAAAAGATTTTTGCATACACTACAACCGATTTCCAAACTAAAGTCACCTATAACAGCCACAAAGACACAAATGCACAATGTTGACCCTATTTGACGCGCAAACATCACGTGACCAATGGACAAATGATACACATACCGGCATTCAAGAAACAATCAAAAATGAATTTGACATAGCCAATAGTGATTATGTATCCCGATCGTATGCCACATTAATGCTGTATGCTCCTCAGGTACATTTCCACAAACAGTCGGTGCATGGTTATGAACACAATTAACATTACATTTCTAACCATAATTCCATTGGCAAAGACTAACTGAACGTGACTAAACAAAGATCCATTTACAAAATTAGCAATAATATGCAATACATAGGGTCCAAAGAGAATAGCACCGTGAGAATATAAGCAAAGATTTATATTATTTGAGCAAGAGCGGAAGTTTGCTTACCGTTGCATTTAATGGGAGTGGATGTATCTGGCTGGTTCGAGGAATGGGTAGATAAAAGACAATGTTTAGTTTTTATATTGGGTTGGGCTGGGCCAAGGATATTTAGATTTCTTAT